CAAGGTGGGGGATTGGGAGGAAGGATCTGTTGGAGGAAGGGTGGCTGGAAGAGTGAGTTTGTTTGGGGATTGGGGTTGATCTGGGGAGGAAAGGCCAGGGAATGCTGGGGAGTAGAAGCCTCCACATGGGCCCAGTTGTGTGTGTTTCTCTGGGCACGGGGTCCATTCTGTACCTTTCACTCCATAGTTACTGCGTTGTCTCCAAGGTGACAACTCAATACTGTCGATCATTCTGCAGTTCACAAAGTCCTCAGGATAGCGGTTGACCTTGAACGCATCCCTGGGCACCTCTCTAATGCGAGTGTTATCACAGAGAACCCGCGACAATGAACTTCTGCTCAGGGCCCGGCGCTGCTGTGGAGTGAAAACCCCGGGATTCTCCCACCAGAATCTACAAAGAAGCAGAAAAGCAGCAGTGTTACAGCCCGTGTTTATCCTTCTTGGGAATGAATTTAGTCCTGGGGGGGTCATGATTTGTTTTGTCTCCATTGATATGAAAAGTGGCCTTGCCTGTGAAACGGAAATACACGTGGTGGTGTGGGACATCGGGGACTCGTTGTAGGCAGCAGCAAAACTCCCACCAGCTGCAGTGGGGCCACAATTTCAGCTGGTAGTTTAAAAAAAGTGTATTTCTAATGTTAATAAATCTCCTATAGCCAAAATGCCTTCAAGCTTTCTAGAGAAGAGTTCCACTGAAAATGAAAAGAATTTTAGATTGCAAAGTCACGGGCTAAAAAGCTTCTGCGGGAATCACAGATGGTCTCTGGGCTGGGCTGTGCAGGAACTCAGACTATTATCACCATGGTCCCTTCTGGCCTTAACATCTAGGAAAACCCTGAATTAAGGCTGCCGGCACAATCTTAACGCTACCCTCTTGTATGTATGGGCTGTGATCGAGACCTTAATTGAATGATCACGTACTGTTTAGTCCACAAACGACCCCTGGCTCACTCAATGCACGGTGCTGTATGAATGAGGCAGCTGCCTAGTTCTTTGTTGTAAGAGGGGGTTTGGGGGGCCAGTCGACCTAGTGGTTGGGGGACCTGACTTCCTGCTCCCTGCTTGTGTAGTCGAGGTGCTTCAGACTTTAAGGCAGGATGGACGGGGCATGCAGTGGAGTGGGAAAACCTGGGTAAAAGGATCTGCAATGGTTGAGAACCCTGGAATAAATTGGCTAGAATAGTGAGCTGGCTACCACGGCCACCTCCTCAAAGGTTTCAAAGAAGGCCTCAGGATCATCACCAGGTCCCACCTTGGCGAGTCTGACAGCAGGGGCAATCGCAGCTGGGGTGGGGTTCACTGGTTCTGCTGGAGTACATGGCCGTAGTACTGTAGCCACCTGCTGGACCATCTGCTGCTGCTAGGCCACTAACTCACAGATCCACTGCTGCTGCTGTTTGGCCATTCAAACTGTTACAGCTCCTGGCCTTCTCCTGGGGCCTGCTTGGGCCTTGCAGTGAAAATGAGCACATGCCTGAGGATGGGGGAGAGCAAGCGACAGAGGGAGGGGGATGCAGTGAGCAGGGGTGGGGCCTTGGGGAAGGGGTGGGGCAAGGGTGTTTGGCTTTCTGGAATTAGAAAGTTGGCAACCCTATACTGGGGGCCTTTCTGGGACCCCGTCTCTCTGCAGTGCTAGACATGCTAGTATAAGGGTCATCTGAGGGGAGGGGGAAATGGGACACTTCCCCCCCCCAACTCTCAGGTGGGGAGACAATAACTTATCCCCCCACCGTCAAGCCTGTGGCAGAGGGGACGAGGGAGGGAGGGGAGGAAGCTGGCCCAGCTCAGGTCCCTCTGGTTTATCACTTGTTACTTTGCCAGCTCTGAACCCTGCAGGCTGAGATTCACCAGGCTTGGTCTCTGCCTCAAGCTGGATTTTTCTGCTGTGTTTCAGCAAAAACGGTTTGGCTCCTCTTGAGAACAGGGTGAGGGAAAGAGGTAGTGTTGCCCACATTAGCCAATTTTTCCTGCCATTTCTTTGAAGAGCTCTAGTGCTCCCAAGGGTTTGTGGCTTGGATGTGAAATTTAGCAGGAGGAACAAACGCCTGTAAGTTACGGAGTTACTAGCTCTGCGCCCGTCTGTCAAATGGGGCCCACAACACCTTCCTACCGCACTGAGGTGTTGTGAAGATACATTGGTGATACTATGGTAAGTGCCCTGGAACTGCCCATGAAGAAGTGACTAATTCTGTATTCAGTGCAAGGTTTGGATGATGTGAGGTGAACACGGCAGGGGCCACCCGCTGAACAATAGGGATAAAACGAAATATTGAACAGCTGCCTCATTCCTGGAGCACTGTCCGTCCTGTGGTGTTTTCCCCAGAACCCTGACAACACACAATCGTGTCATTAAAAAGACTGTGTCAAAATGCACACGCACAAGGGTGCCGAATTCAGATCGCAGGCAGCCTTATTTCTGGCATTTCTGAGTGCTTCTGAGTGCTCGACTTTGCAAACTGCATAACTTTTCTTAATGTGAGTACTTGTGGCACCTTAGAGACTAACAAATTTATTAGAGCATAAGCTTTCGTGGACTACAGCCCACTTCTTCGG